GCGCTTCTCAGCACCCGCCGGCCGGCCGGCCCGGCCAGCGCCGGTGCTAACGGCAGTTGTCAGCTCCCTCCCGTGCCGGCCCAGAAGGACGACTCCAGACGTCTGGAGTCATTGAACGATGATATTCGTTTAAACTGAAGCATATAACGGCCAATAACGGGATGCGAACCGTCACCGAAAAGATCATTGTTGGCCACGTTTAATAATAAATAAAAGTGACTCCAGACGTCTGGAGTCATTGAACAATGATATTCGTTTAAACTCAGGAATAAAACGGCCAATAAAGGGCCGCGGCCCGTCACAGAAAGGGTCATTGTTGACCACCGTTCGCCCCTGGGACTTGTATCAGTCGGTGACAAATTACGCAAAGAAGGTAAAAAGAAAGAAAGTGGGAAAGCAAGCCTGAGGATTCTGAGATTCTGAAGATGTAAGATAACTAAAGTAAGATGAAGATTCCGAGGCCACGTCTCTGCCACACCCAGCCTTGCTGAAAAAGCGGACCCATCTCGATCAGGCCCAGCAAATCTGCTCCCACAGTCGAGCACGTCAAATGCACAGGGCCCGTCCCAGGCGGGGGCAGGCTCAGGCGGGGGCCGGGCTCAGGCGAGGCCCGGCTCAGGCAGGGGCCAGCTCCACTCGGCGGACTTCTGTGCAGCCAGGAGCCTCACCAGGAGCCATTTGTGAAAATGCATCTTCATCATCCTCCACACAGCTGCCAACTCCACCCCAAGACGCTCCAAGCTGTCTGGCCGCCAAGGAGGATCTGAATGTCATCATGAGTGCCAATGCAGAAACGCCAGTCGGCATAGGTGAGCTGGCACGCGATTTGCATCTGTCTGCAGTGAGGGATTTGTATGATAAACTGCACCCTAAACTTGAGATTTGCTGAAGATTATACCGTGCCATGACGCGTACTTTTTTAATTACTGTGATCGTTGAAACGCTAGCGAGTCTTTGTCTCGTAACTGGTAAGAATCTCATCAATTTCTCGCCCAAATGTAGGCATAAGATGATCAGCTATGTTACCAATGTCATGCAATATGTGCACAAATCGAAGAGATAACAGAGAGTTGGGAAGAAGCACAGACTTGAATAAAGATTGTCTTGCTGAACAAATGCTAGTCTCTAAGTAATCTCAAATAGATTAAGCGAACACAGAAGGGACGAGAAAAAAGTTGGCGACGAAAGCAAGTCTTATCAGAAGACTCTCAGTACCATACGAGATTTCAGGCCCGGGCTGTGACGGATCCTGTAGATCTGACGTGCCGACCGTGGGAGCAGGTTCGATGAGACTGACCGAGACGGGTCCGGTTCGGTCGACGAGTCCGGGTGAGACAGATCCATGACCTCAGAATCAGTCTTCGTCTTCTTGCTTCCTGCATTTTGTGCATGGTTTATCACCAGGCCATCAAGTCCCAGGGGCGAACGGTGACCAACAATGAGACTTTTAGCGACAGGTTGCAGCCCTTTATTGGTCACTTTTTGTTTCAGGTTAAACAGGTTAACGCAAACCGTGCTTTTCCGAATGAACAAACGGCCCATAACCACTGTGCACATATGACCATGTAACCAGACAAAGCTCACGCTGCCAACGGAGCCACAGTTGAGACCACCGGTGCCATTGGGTGTAGGGAAGAACGCTGATAATCATGACGCCATCATCTCTCAAACACCGACCCCAGCAGTCTGGAGTCGTCTTTTTGGGCCAGCTCAGGGAGGGAACTGACAACTGCCGGTAACACCAGCACGGCCAGGCCGGCCGGCAGGGCTGGGCCGCGCGCGGAGCCGCCCGACCGGGAGCGCCGCGCTGCGCCTGTCCGCCCGTCTACGATCGCACCTGCACTGCGCTGGTATGCTGTGGCTTCCCACTTTTTTATTGATGGTAGTATCTATGTATAATTAAACGGCGATTCTGGAGTTAGAAATTCTTAACGCATCGAAGATGTCGTCAATTCGGGGAAGTATATCTGCATGGTGAAAAAGCGCACCCATCTTATGATACTGCCATTAATTCAACTTTTCTATATCTGCACTTGACATTGAATTGTTTAGACAAGGACGTTTTCAGGTCGAAAAATGAGCTATGGTCACAGAGTTATCATCGCTTTACTTGGCACATTTCCGTCGTTACGTTATTTTCTCGCGTTATTATGAACGAAAAACGGCTGTACGCGGAGATATAACAACTTTATAATCATATCAGATCCCGAGATGACCTTGCATACTAAGTTTTGTCTAAAACTGATATGACAGCATGCAAATTTGCACTTTTGTTGGTTGGGTTGGCGTGGTATGAACATTACCTTTAAGCACGTACAATCAACGTGCGTGAGGTGGCTGACACGTAGCCGTAGACGGATGCGTCATGGCCTCGTTGGAAACATGTAGGAAGGCAACAAAATGCGCATATGCCTAATTGTAGGTAGACATGGCACATATACGTGATATATGTAGGCACATATACGTATTTGTACGAAGACAAAAAAGCACATCGACGTAAATTCACTGTTAAAATTATGTGGCTCAGACTCCAGACACACCAGCTTACCAAACTGGGTGGACACAGACCCCAGGGCAGACTCAAACCTGCCGATTGAAAAACAGATTCGGTCGAAAAGATTGCTGAAGCTCAATTAAACCTGAGCTTAACTCAGACGAAAAAAAAACTAAATAGAACGCAACACCCTGTAAAACACTGGCCCAGACTTTGTCCAATGTCGCTTAGGGATGATATGTACACAAACCACGAATGCAATTTATCATCCAGTCATTTGGAACATCTCATTAAGAAAACGCATTCTCGAGAGACACACGCTTGGGTTACAGACTGTAGGTACTCTGTCGCATTAGGCTGAGTGGATGAGGGGCTGGCTTTGGTTTGGTGAGAATGGGCTTGGTTAATGATGCCTGGTTGGCACGGTGCAGTTGGACTCATTTGGATGTGCCCGGGTTCGGTTTGACTTTGTGAAGCTGAATTAAATTGAGTAACCTACATCACGTTTAGCGCCGTTCCACAACTACAGTGACTGGGTGGAGTTGGGGGACATTCCTCCGCAATTTTGCTAAAATAGTATTTTATCCCCCACTTTCGGTCGCAACGTGAGCGTTTCTCACGCTCCAAGACCATATTTTTCAGTCCCCCATTTCCGGTACCTAGTTACGCCCATGTATCGGGCCCTTTTACACCGCATGTTGAAGCAGCCCTGGTCAGTTAACGTTGGACTCAGCGCTGGCTACCTCGGCCTCGTAAGGTTCCTCAGCCCATACAGAGGTGACCACTCCAATGCTAACACTGCAGGGATCCAGGTCAGGTCTGATTAGGCCTGTTTTGCGTGGTCAGTACCGCCAGGCCCGTGCGGTGACGGCTCTCTGCATATACGGTGGGATGATGCGTGGTAGCCTGCTGCAGGCAGCAACTGCAGCACCTTCGCCAGGAATTGGGATCTCATATTTTCAATTCCTGATGTTTGTCTCAGCTGCACCTTGCTGCAAGTCAAGGAAAAGGATGTACCTTTTAAAAGCGAAACTGTCTGATTTGTATTGTGTGACAGATACAGGGAACTAAATAGCTGTCGATTCGGCCAGCTGCATATGATCAGACGCGTAATCAAGTTGCTAAAGCTCACATAAAGTCGCTCATCTTATGCAATAATCCACTGATGTAGTATAGTCTAGTTAAGTGTGGTGTAGCTCTAGTGTAGGTGTAAACTTAGCTTAGAAGCGACGCCAGCCAGGTCTCGGCAGCTTCCTTTCCACCCCGCCTCAAATCAATCTTGCAAGCCTGGGACCTGGACTTGGACTCAGCCATGCACCAGGTCAGCACTGAGATTAAACTAAGCTGCTTAAGATTGAATGTCGAAAAAATGCGCGGGGTAATGACGGTACTCGCAAACTGTGCGGGGTAATGGCGGCAATCGCAAACGATCATGGTTCAACCAACCGTAGTGAATACGAATGCCGTGGGATGAAGATCGTATCCATGGAACAACTTTGGGACTAACGGCGATGACAATGTTTTTCCCTTGCGGTCTGTGCCGTGTCAGGCAGATGCACAACGTAATGCGATTCTTTGTTATTGTTCCGTAGGTGCGGCAAAACAACGAGTAGGGAGGGGGGGGGGGGTTACGTTTGCCCAGCAAATACCAGGCTCCACTGTACCTTTGCAAACGCTAGCCACAGAAACAGCTTGTCTGATAAAGCTGCCAAAAACGCTTATCAATGGAAACTTGTCATCGGTTACGAAATAGTGTGATTTTATGATACGCTGCAGGTTTCACACACGCCCTGTGAATATAACGGAAGCTGAGCAACGATAAGGTTTTAAAAGGGTCACTCAAAATGCGTGTTCAAGGTAGCGCGGAAAAGGACTGTCGGCACATCACAGAACCATTACAGGATAAATGATCTAATCAGCAACACTGCCACCGTGGACCCGCGGTTGATGTGCTCAAATCAGTCACCGCAGAACCTTTGTGATTTGTCTCCGCCAAGCCGCACCGGAGTTCGCTAGCTATCATTAAATGTGTATTTGCACAATTAAATGTGTATTGGTTAAAACCAAGACATGAATGAATCTACAACGCAGTTCACAACGGACGTATTAACATAGAAGACGAAATGCAGTAGAGTACTTTCGCAAAGGTCTGATGTAAATGAGCGTTTTGTTTTCCTGCGGTGAGGAGCGTAGGACTCTTCCGTCGTGTCGCACTGTCGGTCGGCCAAGCTAAACTCTGCCACGCCTTCTTCCGAATAGTTCTTTTTAACGATGACCAAACCTACCATGCTCCATGGCCACCTGCGTCATACGAGACGCTTTTGTACGTCGCTTTTGTTCCTCCCTGCACCGGCTCCATTCTTTTTCTCCTGCCTAGGCCATCGACCAATCGCAGCTCTGGCAGCGAGGCGCCAGCCAATCAGAGGCGCGCGTGCCGGCGCCGTGCCACCGCGCCGCCTGCCCGGCTCGGATTTCTGGGCGGCTGTCGCTCGGAACGGTCCGATCCGAGAGGTACAACATCGCACGGCGCGCAGCTGCCAGAGAGTGGTGGGCGGACGATCGGTGAGCCGTCGGTGACGTCCCTCGCGTCGGTGCCGACACGACGCCGCCGCCATCGCGATCGACATTCGGAGGCCATCAAACGCGTGAGGGTCACTCGGTGCCTGGCGTTGAGAGGGATCTGTGCAGAGGAGCGTCGTTCCTGAGGACGAGGGATACTCCCTGGCAAGGGACGGTGGCAGGCAGCTGTGCCAGTGTTACAGACCCGTGAGAAACACGGCGGCAGTCAGTGTCGTGGTGGCCCTGGGCGGCACCGGCGGTCCTCATGGATTACCACATCAAAGGTGAGCGGCGAGAACAGCCAGCGATGGCCATTGCGATGCAGTTGACGCATGCGCGCTACCATTCGCGTTTCAGCAGAGAGAAAATCGCACGATTTATGCGCAGCGCATGGTTTGCATTTCGCCGTGTATACACGGCTTATCTCCGAATATATCTCCGAATAATCCCAGTTTGGGATTGTTTGATGTTAAGATTTGCAGCATTGCATGCTGTACTATCGAACTATTGACATCTTTTCATTTGTGCTTGCGTGCCATCAGCGTGCTTTTAAAGACGCTGATGACTGTGTGTCACCGTTCCGGTCATTGCCACAGTTCGAAGAATAGTGTGTGCGTCAATGTGCATTATTCGTCCCAACGTACGCGAAGTGATAGATCAGATCAGTTCGAACCCCTGCAGATTAGACCCCACTGAGACCTCCCGGTTGTGTTAGCTGACATAAGTGATGGGTCGCACGCATGAGGGGATTTAAGCCGGCCCGAGTTAGCCTAATCCGATCCGACCCGACCCGACCCGATTCGACTCGACCCGACCCGACCCGACCCGACCCGACCCGACCCACCCGACCCGATCCGATCCTATCCGTTCCGACCCGACCTGACACAACCCGACCCGACCTGACCCGACCCGATCCGATCCGACCCGAACCGACCCGGCCCGATCCGATCCTGTCCGTTCCGACCCGACCTGACACAACCCGACCCGACCTGACCCGACCCGATCCGATCAGACCCGAACCGACCCGGCCCGATCCGATCCTGTCCGTTCCGACCCGATCTGACACAACCCGACCCGACCCGACCCGACCTGACACAACCCGATCCGTTTCGTCTTGGCCTAACTATAACCGTCTCAACCCGCGTCGACCGAACCACTTTTGGCACAATCCGAGCCTCCTCCCGATGGTACCAGTTCGATGCACTAACGTTTGAGTAGACCTTAACTTGGATTCCGATTAATATGGGACAGCGTTTTGAGAAGAGCTTCAGTGCTTCACTCTAGCTTAAAAGGACACGCTCTGGAATACAGTGATGCGTAACGACCGTGCCCAACGTCAGCTGTGCAGCACCAGCAGCCGCGTTCAACGACGGGCTCCGACGTCATGTATCTGGCAGTTGTCGTGAGGAGTGGCACTACAGGCTTAGTTTCCTTTGAAGCGTTAGCAGTATATCCTGAGACAGCTCCTGACATCCGAGGCGCGGTATGCGGCTTGTGAGACAAGTTGAGCTGCATACAACATATGGCTGTTCGGTGTGGCACTAGGCGATGATAATCCTGCTGCTGTTGCAGAATTGGTGTAAGCTTAAGCAAATTGGTATGCATAATCATTCCTCATGTTCGTAAGTTGTTAGGTGCATTTGCGAGGAACATTATGTACATACATAAGATAGAAGTAATAGCCTAATTCCTCGGAGAAAGACCAGGAGAATGGATATATTTAGATGTGTTGATATCTCGGCAACATGCCTTTATCGAAACGAATAGCAGAAGTGAATTAGTACCATCCTTCTACCCGGTGGCTGTGGTTTCTCACGGGTTGAGAACACTGGCACAGTTGCCTGACACCGTCTCTTTGCTAGGGAGTATTCCCTCGCCCTAGGAAGGGCGTTTCTCTCCACACCGTGAAGGCCTCGTGAATTCACTTCTGCTCTTCGTTTCGATAAAGGCATGTTACTAAAATATTAATTCACCTGTGTCTTCATTCCCTGTTTTTTGTTCTCCTAGGAATGAGGCTTCTACTGCTGTCTTATTTATATGTCTCATTTTCGTAAAAAATAGACCAGACGCCCGTTCTTATTATTTATGACTGGCTTTGATAAGATATTACGGAATGAATCACTAAGCTGCTGAATTGGCGCGAATCAAGTCATTAACTGACCGTCAAGTCTCCAAATTTTTGCCGTAAGCACCCTGCACCGGTGCCGAAAATCTGCTCGCCGTTTTTAGTGCCGCGGTTACCAGCCAGAATGACGGCACGAGCGCTGCTTTTTAAGATTCAAAGCGCTGATGGCCACGAGGATGCGATAAGTAGTCACCATCTGGTCTGAGGCCTTCGACATCGTCACCACTAGACCGGATGGAAAATATCTGAAAGCACCAAACCGATGTTGCATGGAACCCTATGAAATGCTTTAAGTTTTGGATGGTTCAAAAACATGCAAAGCACGTTCGCCACATAATGTCCTAAGCCGCCACATGGACAAATTTGTGCACTGAACGGGCACATTGCACTTGTTGCCTACTCCGTGTGCGTGAATATTGTGGTAAGCAGCATACTTCTCAAAACTACATTTCACCGTGCATTTCTTATCAGCTACATTTAACAGCAGCTTTTTATGCATCTCTTATCAAAAGAGCACCCAGGTATAAATGGCGGGAGGTAAGGTAGGTAACAATGACATTTTGGTTTTGTTTCTGTGGATGATATGACTATTGGAACAGGACTTCTGGTGCTAATAACTTCAGTCACCAGCAGGCTTTGTTCTGGAAGCTCATATCTGATTTGCGATTTGGAATGATCACTTCATGCCAACTTTATTGCGTTGTTTTTTATTTGCGGTACGTGCAATGCCCTGTGCCTGAATGTGTCAGTCATAGGAGGTGAAATTCGAAAGTAGCCGAGATCAAGCTCCTCAAGGAGTCAGGCTGGACGTGGCAGAACAGTGCAGAGATTTCACCGGCGCCAGTCATTGACAGCAGGCCAAACAAGAAGGTCACGCCTCGTCCCGGGCCTCGGAAAGCCTGTCCGTGATCGGGGTTTCACCACAACGAAAGTGTGCCTCCACTCTTATCGGTCCTTTTCTTGGACGCTTTCGTCGCCTCCTTTACTCAACGCCCGAAGTCTTATGGGAGACAGGGAAGGTCACTGAAGTCCGTCGTCCTGGCTTCTGCTTCTCTTATTTCGCTGATGTAAAGCCGCGTGGTTGAGGGCCGTTGAGATAACGCTGCCTGCGAGCTCAGGAGTTCTTTGTGCCGTTGTGCCGTGAATTTGATCTTGGAGACAAGGAACTGTCTGACTTCAGTTGCTTCCGCTATCTTCTGTCCACCCTCAGCTCTGTTTCGGCACGTCTTGGTCTGCTCCATATCCGTGCCTTGCCTGCCATGCCATGCCTTGCCTTGCCATGCCTTACCTCCTGTTGCGGATCAACGAGCATTGCTGATAGCATGACCTCATCATGCAACAAAAACCACATCTCCGTGGCGCAGTTTAGATAATGACTTGATCGTTCCGCGCCAAGTCCGAGTTCGGGTGCAGATCGGTTAGATCGAAGACGTACCTCGACCCGCCGGATGTTTTGCTTTGCACTCTGTTACGACACCGAGTGGAAGCGTACGGATTTCACCTAAAAGCACCAAGCGCTCAGGGGCTCTGAGAGAGACGGGACCCAGTCCTCAAACGCTCAGGGGCTCTGAGAGAGACGGGACCCAGTCCTCAAACAACGGCCACGGTCCCGGTGCCCTCCTTTCTCAGCCCTAGAAAATCTCGTCGGTTACAGAATGATCCAGATATATCATCGCGCCTGTTTGCCGTAAAGCTTTTGTTTGCCTCCTGCTGTCCCTATGTGTGTCTCTGCTGCCGAATCTTAATACAATCAACCAGATATTTCATTTTATCTCGCATAACTCGGTAATTAATCAGAGCAGCAGTAAGTACCGATCGATACGTGGCCCCAAAGCGATCGCTCATTTTCGAGAAGTTCAAGAACTGTTAGAAATGTTGTTTGACACCGTCGTCTTAAATGATTTCAGTCAGCAGCTCGTAACCATTGCTTTCATAAGCATTGTTTGAACTGTCCTAGTCCCGTGTGCTGTTTTCCGATTCCGCCGTTTCAGTAAGATTGTCCAGACCCTCCCATCTCCCCTTTCTCTCAGTAATGACGCCAGTTTCCTTGCCTTTTTGTCGTTTTCGGTCACCCACTGTTGAATTTTAATCTGCGCTAGTGATGTGCAGCTTTTTGGCCGTGCGTTAGTCCTTTATTGCCGGAAACTCGCGAACCATCACATTTTCTCGAACGAACATTCACGGCATGAACCGTCGGTGAGGGGGCAGCGGCAGCATAGCATACTTGTACTCCAAGATAGCCTATGGACTGTTCATTTGCTCAGCTACCCGGTTTGTGGGTCTCGTTTGCCCCGTTTGCGTCATTTCCTGAGCTTCCTGGACGTTTCGTGCTGAACATTTTTCAACAATTAAGTTTGTCGTCTTCTTGACTCAATCTGTTTCATCCTCGACCTAAGAGTTCTTCCCGCTCTACCTGTTGCACTTCACCGGGCAAGATTTGATCTATCCCAGATACGCAAAACATGCTTCATTTCCATTGCAATATCTCTAACGAACAACGGCCTGGCAGACAATCAAGTTAACACTTTGGATGTCTTCAAATAGTAGCAATTTTCCTGACTTTTTCGGGAAGCTGTATTTTCGAGGTTTACTTGGGTGACTCGAAGGTGGTGCGCAGTGTGCCTACAAGTCGACGGCTCAGCTTGGCCATTTTTGGTGCCGATCACGAACAGCACCACTCGTAGTCTCGTTTGTTAGAAAACTGAGGGCTCGCTGGGTCTCCTGTTCCTTTCCTCGTTCACAAGTAGTGGTACGATACGTTGACGGCGCGTTGTCGTAATGGGACGGATTTAGTTCAAAACCGACAATGTTTGCCGCGGTTGTCTCCATATTCAGTTCGAAGCATGCATTTGCGCATTGCTTAAGTCGGGACAACTTCATGTGCATCAAAGAACGAGGCAAGTATCATAAACACAAGCACACTTGTAAGTGTTGGCTTCTCGCCGTTTCGGATCGTTCATCCACACAAATTTCATACACATGTACCCGATGTTTCTATTATTGATACGGATCTCAAGACATCTGTATGGAATGTGCCGCATTACGCTAATGAAAGCGTAGCGCCGTGTTTTAAGGTAGGGGTAACTTATATAGGCAGCGTCCGCCCTATCCTAGAGACAACAACGGGGGAGCTGCCCTCGCGACCAGCTAAAATCCCGTTCTTGTGGCTCTTCTAGATATTGATTTGTAAGCATGATGTCGATGCTCTCGGGCTATCTAAGACCTAGCGCATCATATCATCACCATATTTGTCATGGTTTCATATGGAGGGTAATATGGGATCCTGTTGACCTATAGATTGACCATTTTTAGGAGTAGTTTTGCATTCAGTCTATCGTCATGCATGGAAAGCCCTTACCAAGGTTGTGAAGCGTCCACTTTTTGGACCATTCCTACGCTGCTGAATGCCCCCACCCCCTCCCCCACCCCTCCTCCCCCAGCCGTTCAGTGCAGCGCTGAACAGCCGGCCTGTCTCTCTGTTACAGTCGAGGGCGGAAGCGTGATGTCCGGGACGGACATGACCTACCCTGAGGCGTGGAACAGGTCACCGTGCGACCCTTCACCTCATCATAGTGAGAGCCTGAGGTCAGCTACTGCTGTGGCCTTAATTAGAAAGACGGGCGTGAGCCGATTCTTGCTGTGTGTACATACTAATGGACGCTCGTTGTAGCATTTAGTTTTGTGGCTTGATGCCAAACGGCTTTTCTAGCTCTTTTTACCTGAATTGAAAAAAAAACATGTTAATCGTAAAGTCAGGCTTACGTGTTCGAGTTGCTAGTAGCGTGATGTTGTGCTTAAGCCCAATGATTAAGCAAGGCATAGAATAGAAAGTTTCCGATGTACTTTCGCTGTTCCATCATTACTATCCGTAGAATACATGACCAAAGCTCAACATATAAAGCTTATAGAAGGGTGTCGGTACGAGCTTCACTGAACGGTGTCCTTTTCACAGATAAGCTTGGAATACGAATGAAGTCGTTCTGCATGCAATAAGGTTTTTCTTCCCAGTAATCTGCTGTCTTATTTATGCGAGAAGTGCGTGATTGCGTAAAAATATTCTTGCGATTTGAGATTCTGTCCTGAACTGTACAACTGAATGCTCCTCCATAAACCACCAATTTTGCTTCTAGTTTACGTAGATAGGTGATCTATCGCATCATGCATTCAACCAAACGAAGCAATCCGACATTTTTACTCATTTTTGTGATCACAGTATTCGTGCGGCCGCGTCTCCAAAAGTTTTACATTCGCAGAGCTTATCTAATTGTTGTTTACATCCATGTAGTCTCCGTCAGATAACGCCAAGACGTGTGCACCTCAGCTTAACCAGCCTGCCCGATTTTTTTACGTCTCACGGTCTGGAGCGGTGTCGTCCTAATGGTCATCAGCCGTAAACCCGCGCCTGCGCTGTGGGAGCCGCGCTCGGCCCGCTGATGGGCCCGATTGGGACGCTCGGGCCACGGGCCCGTCCTCCCATCGTGGCCGATTTTTACCGGCGCTGCAGCGGCCCGGCCCGTCCTCACCGGCGCCGGCGCGTTTGCAGCTACAAGTCGACCAAGGGCGCGAGCAAGATCCGGCGTGATCTGATCAACAGCGAGGTGGCCGTGCTGCGCGACCTGCTGCCGCTGCCGGCCACCACGCGACAGCGCATGTCGCAGCTGCAGCTGATGGCGCTCGTCTGCGTGTACGTGCGCAAGGCCAACTACTTCCAGCAGGGTGAGTGCGGCCTGCGGAGGCGGAGGCTTCTGATGGAGCGGGCTCGGCCGGTGGCCGTGGGGCCCAGATACTGGCTGCGATGCTCCGTGTTTGCCGGGACTGCGGAGAAGCTGGCTGCTGTGGTACGAGCGCTGTTCGCCGGGTGTTCTCAGCAGGACTGACCAGCTCTAGTGACCGGTTTCGTGAAGTATGACTGCAAGTTAAGCCATTTTTTATTTGCGTGGTATGGATTGTTCGGCTGATAGGGCTTCTGCACCGTGCAAATGACGCTACCCTACGCATCAGCCGGACTAAGCTAATGATAAGTGCCACCGATGCTGCCGATTTTCTGATGATCTAGACATCAATGTAATTATTATACTCCCCCGAACATGGCTTACCACTGATGCGCGCCAATGTGATATGATCACCGACACAAAATGTGATAAGCGTAGGCTGGACCGGATCGTCGATCCTTCCGTCTCTGACATTAGTTCATGTTCACACGTTCAAGCTTAAGTGCTCGGTGGGAACGTCGGCTGATAGCTATCGCTGGCGCTGAAGCCACCGCCTGGTTTTTACCCTACCGTCCAGATTACTGTCTGCAACGGATAATATGTCAGTCATGACATTTGCTAATGTTGCCATTTGCAAAGATAGCTGTTTGCGGCGGAAGCGGCTGGTGTCTGTTGGGAGTTGACAATTGCAGGTGACGAGTGGGCTGTCAGACCTCCCTTTCTCTCACGTTTTTTTCTTCTTCTTAACCAGTGGTCAGATTTTATCAGCGAGTCAGCTTTGTTTTACAGCCGTGGGATTTCTTGATGGAAACTGTGCGGATTAGGCTGGGACCAAGCCGAATCTGCGTCCCGCAGCGGACGAGGGCTGCACTGTCAATTCATTCGTCGTCTAAATGGGTCCATCCCTCTGTGAGGGTGCCACAGCAATATAAAATGGTGCAAGTTGCAGTGCAGCACTGTTCTGTGCGTAATGAAATAAAGAATAACCTAATGGCCATAATAGAATGACTTGGTCGGGAAGAACATACATGTATTTTAGTCGTCCGCCTTCCTCTGCATAACACATGCAACATAATGCAAATCCCCAACAATTCCATGGCAGTTCATTGAGCTGGAAATACAAACTGCAAGCCAATTTGCCGAATTGTATCCGGTCCGTTCACATTCGTACGTAGCGGCGGCGGCGTACATACGGACTGAAGCAGGTGGGAGATGGCAGCGTTCTTATTTGGCGAGCTCTGTCATCTCCTGCGGTTTCAGTCACCAGAGCTGGAGGCAGCAGTTTTCTTATTCCCCCGGAACATGTCCGGCTGCACTCCTTTTTACCGGGGCGGAAACCTGCCCGCGTTCCCTACGCAGCCATCGCAGCGGAAGGCGCCTGGGCCGTGGAGGGCGCCGGTTGAGCCGACCGTGGGAGCATCGGCCGGCAAGTATTTTTTGGCGGCGTTTTTAGCGGCGGTACGTCCTGGTGCTGAACAAGGCGGGTATCGGCCGTCATCGGCCCCCCGCGCCGCCGCTGACGGTCGGGTATGTCCAGGTCAGCGTTGACGGGTGACCTGGCGGACTGCCAGGTCAGCGTTGACGGCTGACCTGGTGGACTGCCAGGCCAGCGTTGACGGGTGACCTGATGCAATGCCAGGCTGCGGTCATCACCGTGGCTGCTCTGGTGATGTCCTTAAGATATCGTTAAAGTCGCACGGACTCCGGTGTCGGTCTGTCGACACTCTTAGGACACCATGTCAGGCCGGTCTGTCGTCGCTATTACATTCTCACGGCTGGCAAGGTATTTCGCCGCGTTTCCGTATCGCTAGGAACGTGTGAAAGGCTTCACCCAACGCTGCACCGGCTGCTAGGTCACAGTGTTCCCCCACCCCCACCCCCACCCCACCCCTCCACTGTCCTCCGTGCAGTCTTGCAGCTGTGAGGTTGCAACGCCCTCTCCACAGCCCCCTGCCGCCTGGGAGATATGAGCTCCCCGGGTTTCTGCAGCATGGTGGCTAGGGTTCTGCAGCCCTCCTGCAGACCCCCCCCCCCCCTTCCCACCGCCCCTAACGCCGGCCCCCTCCCACCAAGCCCCTCCACGCCGCTGGCAACACTCCTCAGTCTTTTTTACGCCCCTTCTTCCGCAGCATGGCAACCCTCCTCAGCCCTCTCGCGCATCTTGCCCGCTGCCGGCGGCCATCCGGTTCGTTTCCCGCAGCATGGCAGCCCTCCTCAGCCCTGCGCCCCCTCCCCCGCAGCATGGCAGCCCTCCTCATCCCTGCGTCCCCTCCCCGCGGCATGGCAACCCTCCTCCGGCATTCCCTGTGCTCCCTCTCCCGCAGCATGGCAGCCCTCCTCAGCCCTGCGTCTCCTCCCACGCAGCATGGCAGCCATCCTCAGCCCTGCGCCCCCTCCCCCGCAGCATGGCAGCCCTTCTCAACCCTCCCTGCACCCCCTTCCCCGCAGCATGGCAGCCCTTCTCAGCCCTCCCTGCGCCCCCTCCCCGCAGCATGGCAGCCCTCAGCCCTCCCTATGCTCCCTCTCCCGCCGCCGGCAGCGGTGAGCAGCCCCAGCAGGTCACGCCCCGCTCCCGCACCGCAAGGCCGCTCAGGGAAGACGGCCGCCGGCCTGGCATAGCCAATGGATCGCGCCGCGCCGGCCGCGGACAATGCGTGCCAATGGAGCGACACCGGCCGATCAGAGCGGCGCCGGGCGCGCCGGCGCCGCCGGTCCGCCACCGCGGGCGGTCCGCGCTGCATGAACGGACCGCACGAAGGCACCGTGACGCCGCCGGCGACGCCCGACGGACGGCGGTCCGACGGACGGGACCGGGGTCGGGGCGGGACCGCGGCGGCGTCACAGCGGCGCGAGGGAGCGGATGTAGACTGGCGCCGGGGTTACAGCGAGGACCGTTACCAGGCCTTGGCCACGAGACTGAGGTCGTGAGTCAGTGCCGGACGGTGGCTGTGTGCCAGGCTACATGTGCTGGCGTCAGTTCACGACAGGCGTCGGAGCGAGGGTCGTTGTCATACCAATGGCCGGGGTGAGGTCGTGAGCCGGTATTGGAATGCTATCCGGTGTCAGACCGTGACCCAATGTCAGGGCAGGGCCCGGTGCCGGATATCAGGCCAATGTCAGGGCAGTTAGCGATGTCGAGCCAGCGACCGGTGCCAGAAAGCTGATATCGACAGACGATAAAGCGACATGGAGCCTCCCAACCGATCCAGCTGTCCAGTGGCTGGTCAGCTGTGACCGGTGGACGTCGTCTCCCCAACTCTACCGATCATGCCAGGGTCGTGTCGACCGCGCCACCTCCTCGTGCCGGTCCGAGGCGCGCGGCGCGGCGCGCTGGGAACACGAGCCGGCCGCGTGACGCGTCACCATTAGCCGACTCCCGTGACTGACGAGTGCAGAGCTGGTGCTCTCCGAGGTCAGCACCCTCTGTCTTCTGGAAACGCCATGCACAGCGCGCTGTTTAGGTTTCCGGCTGCTTACCGTGAAAACTTGCCGACTTTGTGCTGAGTAAAACGAGACCTTTATCAAATTTTACAGCCGGCACTTTTTTATTAGTGGACGAAGCAGGTCATTGGGTTCTGAAAAACGAACGGTATCGAAATAGCTCAGTTGTAAGTGCACTCAGTTTTCACGTGGTAGGCTCGCGTTCGATTCCCGGCTGCCACTACGTTCTCGGGGTTCTCAAGTAACCGCTATCGTCGTCAACGCTCCAGAGGTGGCTGCACAACAACATGCGCCACACAAACTTTGAAATAAAGAAAGCGGTCTTAGAAATGACGCTTTTTATTTCTGGCAAAGCCAACATCATGCACCTTTATTCTCAAAATGTCATGACTTTATCCTTACGGTGCGATACGGCACATTCCGAATCTCTGAGCACCAGCCCAGGCACGTCCCGGGTCCCGTCCCCGTGCCGCCGACCGGTCTGAGCCTGGCGTCCCGCTGGCTGCGACCCCGCCCGCATCCGTCGCATCGGCCCGGGCGGCGGCGCGCGGAGACCGCGCCGCTGCTCGCCGCGGCGCCGCTCGCGCCGGGGGGCGGTGGCGCTGGCGCCTGCAACACCCTGGCACATAGAGCGGTGCATGGGTGCGCAGCAATTTGAAACTGAAGCACACGTGCTGTAGAGCGCATGGAATGGGACTGGGAGGCGATTGCCGGCAAGAGGAGTGCAAGATTATAAAGAGCGTTCGTTAAGCCGCGGCTCGGAATGGCTTGTCTGCGGGTGGTTTGTCCATTAGCCGGCCCGGACTACGAACGTCCGGCACTAGAGCAGTCAGCACGATGGCTGGCACGACGGAGGTCCGCCGGGCCCTCAGACCGGGCCAAAGGTACTACGTCTCCGTGACCCTGCCTGTGACCACGACTTGTGCACTGTTTAGTGAAAATATGGGCCCCATTACAGGTTATGACACTCGGATGTATGACCCACTTGACCCACTCGGTAATGGGAGCGCTGAAAGAACCAGGTGCCTGCGCACCGTTTATGGCTGTTACGTTTCAACTGAAGCGCACGTGCGCAGGATATGCACCTTTTTGCGCTACTCACGCGTTCTTCCGCTGTGTCATGCCCTGCGCGCTCATCAATAAAATCATAATTGACCAATCAAGTGAGGCTGTCACTGGTTAGCGGCCCCTGTGCAAAGCACGTGCCTGCTCTGAATTGGTGCCCGCGAACGGCGCCGTGTCTCACTTTGTCAAACAAGCCCGCGCGAAGCGAACAAGGGCCCGCACGGCCCAGCGGCGCGGACGCGTTCGCAGAACGGCTCACGGGCCGCGCGCCGCGCGTGCCGTTCTGTGGGCGATACCGGAGCGATAGGGTTCGCTGTCCGCCGGGACATGAGATGTGAATTATGTGCCGGCTCGGAGCCGGACCTGCTCAACCTAATGTATGCACATGGGATGCACGGACGCGATCAGCCGCGCTCGCGCACTATCAGCTGACCACCATTACCATCTAATTGCCGCAAGTGAAAATGTAAAACGGATAAAAAGCGGCTTCGGGTCAGAGTTCGCTCTGGCAGGATGTGACCCAACGCGACAAAAACAGGCTCCACATGCGCCGCCAGTGTCTCGTGGCCCCGGGGCCCGATTGTCCCCTTTTTAAGTGGCGCATTTTTCCCGGTGTTGCGCCCTTTGTAACGCGGCAAATGCGCTCTGCTGCGGGCCGCCGCCTGCAGGAGATTGGCCCAGAACAACGGAACGAAACTCAGGGATGCGGCTCGTGAGCCCGGGCTGCGGTAGCCGCGTACTTCCCTGACGCTCAGGGCACTCCGAGCACTCCGGGCACTCCGGACGCTGAACGAGCACTCCGGGCACTCCGGACGCTGAACGAATTATTCATACAGTGCGACCATGGTCGTTTCCGTTGTAAAGCGCGTGGCCAGGTGACTCAGTCCTGGCCAAAGAGGTGACCTGCAACTGAGCGCGCACCCCGCCACACCCGCCGCACCCCGACGGCTGCCGCTGCTGAGGTCGCGCCGCTCTACCTTATCGATGGCCCGCCCCAAGACAATGCCCTCCAGATCATTCTGTCGGTGGAGATCATTCATATCTTTGACGCGTTTATTTAGATTATGTTAACTGCACAGTTGGTGACACATAAATCTCTGTGACAGCGGCGGGGAGTCGGATGACGGGCGCAGCGGGAGGCGACGCGGGGAGGGCTCTATCCATCACCCCCCCCCCCCCCCACACACACACATCGGCCGCCTCCCCCCCCCCCCCCTGCCGCTCGAGTACGTTCCACCTCCTCCCAGATGCGGATGCAAAAAGCCGTGCTGCGGGTCAGGTGGCGTTTAATTTCCGTTCCGTGTTTATTTGAGATTCAAGAGGTTTGATGAGCTGGGTTGGGAATATGTGGGTCCGTGGCTCGTTTTAAGCGGAAGGTAACAGGCAATGGCAGACAGATAGATATTTACTCTGATCAATATGCAGCACTGCTGTTTGCGACATCTGCTTTGCCATCGTTGGGGTGTTGGCATCCACTGAGCGCGATCCCATCTGTACCTGCTAAATAGCTCGAACCCGGCCTAACTTTGAGGGGAGCTTATGCCAAGCGGTAAGCGTCGTTGGGGTATAGAAAAGCGAGCACCTGTCCATCGACCATAGCTAAATGGATCATTGTGTGTGAAATTGCTACTAATGCCATGTCTAAGCTTGTGTAACTGTGTGCCACTCTCTCTCTTCCAGTGTTGAAAAATATGGAACAAGAAGCCCATCCACCACCTGCATTTGGATTTTCCAAGGTGAGCTCGGAACATCAGCTTTTCAGTATGATACCTCTCACTGGGCTCGCGGTTTTTCTTCGGAGGTGTTTTTGAAATCGATAGTCTGATCCAATCACAACTAACACCTTCTGATCAACCGCCGCACTGGAACAGATACCTTGCTGCTCACAAAAGTGATTCTCACATGACACTCCTGGAAGCAGTAATATTGCATTATTTATGTGAGAAGCAGTCTTTATGAGCTTGCAAACCGCTAACGAAACTGACGGGCGTGCCCATAACGAAAACAACCACGCCGCTGCCCACAATCGCTGCGGCCGAGCCCAGCGCCAAAATGATCACTTCGCCACCCGCAAAGTATGACGTCATGCTCCGCAGACACATAGCTGGGAACTCGGAATTTCCAGTTCTGTGCAACAGACAAACGGGCACAGCCCGGCTGCCTCAGTTAAAAATTCCACAAGCACAAAGCCATTGCCAAAGCCGCTGTTGCATTTCACAGTCCCGGCGGGCTGAGTACGGTTTTTCCGGTGCTCCAATGTTGACGGTGGCTCGGCTGGCGGCCTGCCGTCGACGTCCGACCGGCGGATACAGCCACTGCTTACCCCAGGCCGGTTTATTCGGCTTCCGAAGCGACCCTGCTTACCATGGGCCGGTTTAAGCGTCTTCTGGAGTGGTCCGGTCTGTTCCATTGTCTTTCCGCGCCAGTAACATGACCGTTCGTGACCGAACCGGATAGCCCCCGTAAGGATCGAGCTTCAGGTGGAGGACGTCCTCCGTTTAGCGCACGAGGGAGTCAAGTACCTGGTGATGTGGTGCTGACGTCGAAGGCGAGCCTGGTGTGCACATCGGGGATGCCTTCTGAGGTGGAGGTGGAGGAGCGGCTCCTTTCACGTTTTGGGAGTCGCGAGGTCTTTGTTCTCGGCGAGAGCAGTTGAGCTCTACATGCTTAGAAACCAATATTTTTAGACACTGTTCAGTCTGTTTTGGGGCTTCAAATCCCGTTTGTACCACAGCGATTTTCATGAGTACCGTCTTTCAGGAGTGGGGATGGGGGTGGGGCTGTGGACTGTGGGCTGTGGGCTGTGGGCTGTGGGCGGGGGGGGGGGCTGTTTTTTGGTGAGGGGGGATGGAAGAGCGGCAATCGGCGATCTTGATTGGCACCCTTTCTGTAGCGCTTTTTTCAACGGCATGAACTGAGCGCGACCAAATGACAGACGTCAAATGTCATACACAGATACGTATGCGAGCAATAGCGTTCACGAATCAACGAATCAGAAACTCGTTAAATTGCTCATTAAACTCGTTTTAGTTGCGACCCGTACCACTGAGCACGTTTTCCTTTTCATTGCACTTTTCCCGCGGCCCTATTCTGTGGTGTTTTGTTTTGTTTGTTAGCACCAGCATTTTTATTCGTTATCGTACCGCGATCGTTTTCTTTTGTCACCCCAGGCCATGAACGGGTTTATGATGCTGACCACCCAGAGCGGGAAGCTGCTGTACATATCCGACAACGCTGCTGAGTACCTGGGACATTCAATGGTGAGTACACCACATGGCTAGCTTTACGCCGCAAACGACCCCGAGCACGTTGACAACATCTCCTCAATAGATAGCTGACCTCCCTCATATACCATGCGGCTGCACGAGGCAGAATCTCGGCATGTGATCACCGCCATCTTCCTTCTTTCCGCGTGCCTGCAGGTCAGGTGGCTGCTAAACATTACCCGCGCGATACTGGCCCATTAGCGGCCTGCTCATCAGCTAGTTTGTCGCGGAATGCTTTCTCTGGAAACATATAGCACTCGGAAGTTTCATTCCGCTGAGTTCAGCGTGTTTCGACCGGGTCACACCGCTAGAGAAAAGACCTTGCGAGAATTAGCGTTATTAAACGGCAAGCACCGCTCCGATCTCATTTCACCGTTGCATTCATGGCATTCTTTGAAAACATGCATGTAACACGAATTTCGTGCGGCAACTGACGACCAGTTGTTGATGAAAAGTGCACATTGGATGTCGCGCTAACATCAATTTAGCTACGTCCTTTTCATAGCCGGCATAATATGTAAAAAAAAACACCCTCGTAAGCAAGACACAGTTGCCAATCACATGTATCTGCGAAGACGAAAAATCCTGTTCAAGTGCAGAAAAACGACTAAGAACACTTAATCTTACCAAAGGACACAAAAAGGGTTCTAAAGGAATAGCATTTGTCCTTACTGGCGAAAATACCCCGGTTTAGCCCTGAGGCTGCAACTGAAATGAACAAGCGTCGTCACTGCCTGCGCGGAAGATCCCGTCAATTGTGCCGAGAGAGGTCGGCTGCCATTGTTGAGTGGATGGGTGACATGCACCACTAACGGCGCCTTTTCACCGCCGGTGGCCGCCGGTGGCCCGGCGCCGTCGAATTTCGCGAGTCACCTGCTCCCTGCTGTGGGAACGCCAAATGCGATGCGTCATTCAGCCCCTGTGACATCGTGACAAGGCACTGCACTCCTCGGGGGTTTTGAGTGCGGCGATGCAAGTTTTGATCAACTGCTTTGCTGGCCTGCTAAGACTTGTGTGACTTTGTATTTGCTTGAATCGACTTATAAAGTGCATAATCGTGAATATAAGCCAACCAAGCACCGTCACAAGACTTCGAGCTTTATTTGAGGGTGTTGGTATATTCACTCCACATGAGGATGGCACAGCTCGTATAATGTTCAAGACGAGCGCGACATGACCGTAGTTTCTTGCTAGTCTTGGACATGATGCACGGCTTTAGCAGACTCCAGCTCGTTTAAGGCACTTGGTCTCAGCGGAGCACTTTTCATTCCCAATAAGGGTCAAATCTGAAATGTGCAAGGCTGCAAAGACACAGAGCAACAACTTTCTGAACAGATATTGCCAAGATCGACAGCACGAAAAGGCTCTATTCGACGATGTACAGAAGACTTATCATTTTGGAATTATACAATTTTAAGGATAGCGCACGTTAAATGACCGAGTAAGATGTCGAATGATGCGATCAACGATCGCCCAAGAATCATCAATAACTGGGTACAGTGGGTCTATCAGTATTTAACCGCGCAGCTACCAAAGGACACCCTCCACATCCCTCTCTTACTTGGAGATGCGCATGCTTCCTTGCAGTAAAAGTAAAACGAAGTCCAGCACCCAATAAACAACACCTCTAAGTTTTTGAGCTCCACTCTGAACGCATCAAGCAAATTTAATTTCTTATATTCCTCTTTCCACTTCCTAGTCTGCACAACATCAGCGACACCCTCGAAGGAAACGCGACCTGTCATGTTCATGTCCCTTGTTACGAACCTCTCTGTGCGATGCCGTTTCAGGAAGACCTGCTGATCCACGGCGACTCTGTGTACGACATCATCGACAAGCAGGACCAGCAGGCGGTGCAGGCGGAGTTGATGCGCTCCGCGACCTCCTGCCCCCTGCCCTCCGACGACTCGAGGATATTCCTCTGCAGAATGAACGTCTCCAGGAACGCCCGCCGTCAGATGCGCTTCGGGGACCAAAAAGTCAGTGGAGATGTCGTTGCGGTGCGAGCTGCAACTGCTTCCATAGTCGAGATACGTCTGAGCCTCTCGTTGTTCTTTGAATTCTCGCATGTTCGGTGCAAGGAGCGACGCCCCCGGAACTGCTCTATGATGCAATGGGCTTCATGTTGTGGCCAGAAGACTGCTTCAGCCAGTTTTTGCTGATGTTTATGAAATATCAATGATGTGGTCAGACTTAGTGGAGAGCAAGTGAGTGGCTCTACTGCGCATCCATGCAATCTGATCAATCCGATTAATCCTAATAAAACAGGCCAGCACCGCAGCCGGGGAATTTCTGACCACAATGAAGCAACATCACCTTAAACCCTGGACACCGCAGCGAAATTCACATGAAGTCGTCGCATGACTCATCCCGACCCGTGCTTCTCAGCGCTCCCGCGTCCGCACTCACCCGCCCCTCCACACCGGTTTGATCTGATTAGGGCTTGGCCACCGTTTGGCAACGCTGAGTCAGCAAGGATCGCCGATCTTTTTTGTTGTTAATTGTGACCATCTTGCATGCTGCAATCAGGCATCGTGCAATCTCCTAAACTACATTTGCACCCAATCAAACAGACCCCACACCAAAAGTAAGCAAGCCGGAGGCCGGCAATGACTAGTCTGTCCGCCTCACGACTCGCTCCGCTATCGCCGATCTGCGCCTTGTGCCCTGTGTGACCCCCGTGTGACCCCTGGCCGTGGCCGGTTGCAGGTCGTGCTGATCCGGGGCCACTACCTCTCCTTCCTGCCCCTCTGCAGTCGGAACGAGCCCGTGTTCGTTGCGACGTGTACCCCGATCGCGATGCCGGAGACGCGAGACTGCGTCGCTCAGGGAGCCCCCAACATCTTCACCTCCGTGCACTCGATGGACATGAAGTTCCTGCAGATGGACAAAAAGTAAGTGCTGTTTGTCTATGTGTGAGAGTGGCCCTTATCTCCTTTTAAGGAAGTGTTCCACATTTATATGGGGTATGAACTGAAGGAGCCATCTTAAAGACCTCTCGATGCCGTTCACAATCCCGCTCCTCTTAAGACCTAAGCCTCTCTTAATTTTGAGCGCTCGAAAATGAGGAAGGTATATCGGGAGAGTATTTCAAAGCCACCCCGCCATTCATTACGTCATAATAACGCCATTCAAATTCTGCCATTCCATAAGCCATGCCACGATGAAGGTCAAGAACAACATAATTCTCGAGGCGTTCATATCTGGCGTTCGTGAGCACGACATCCAGAAATAAAGGCCGTCAATTGGCTCTCAGCCAGTGTTGTGCAAGGGGCGATGACGTAATCAAATTATGACGCATTGGAATCATATTTACTAAACAGGGAATTGTGCTGTCTAGAGCAGTCTTTTCCGCTTAAAAAGTATGACAATAGTTATGAGTGAGTTTGTTTCATCGTATCTGATGCTTGCTTCAAGATGTTGAAACGTGAAACATTCCCTTTAAGTGCATGCTGTTGACGCGAGTTCAGTGTACGTTTGCCCCTCACGACCCTTGCTTTCACTTTACTCATATCACGATGCTTTATTGCTCTGCAATTACGTCAATGAATTTCAGCGCATGTTTAACTGCATTGAAAATGTGGACATGGCTTCTTACCCCACAATAAGGTACAGGACAAGCTGACGCCGATGATTTCAGTACGTGCATGGCGAACAGCTGCGAGACATGTATTTTGTAACGCCACACATAATGACAAACGCGATAGCCGTCCATCACATTTCAAATGCATAGGAAAGCAAATTACGGCATGATCATTTCCTGTCTTCACGTGCCGGCGACGCGATTTACGCTGATTCATGCGGCGGAATGCCAATATTATGGTCTAGAACATCCGCACAGTACGTATCCACCTTCCCAAGCTCTGACGCAGTCGCAGGAGACCCCGGTGCACAGCTATCGAGACCTCTCGCGGCGGTGCGACGTCTGGTCGGCGACGCGACCCCGACCGCGGCTGGTGTGGCGTAACGGACCACCTGCGCGGCACCGCTGCTGGCCGCGGCCGCCGGCGCCGCCGGCACGTGCCGTTCGCCAGGCGGATCTCCGGCTCGCGCTGGGTGGGTGGGAGGGGGGGTGGGCGGCACCGGACTGGTGGTTTTGGTGCCGGTCCGCCGTTACCGACGCGTCATGAGCGCGACAGACAGTGTGTGATCTAGCGGAGTTACGCCATATAAGGATCCCCACGAGTACGTGCGCGCCGTCTACTGGTTTGGGTTGCTTCCCTTCAACTAGTATTGTCTCTTTCCTGCCAAACAATGCCATCGACCACGATCCACGCTTGATTACAACTATTACGATTGCCAAAAGTAGCTTCTAGGATGTGAGGTGGGATTTATCGGGCTTTATTGTAAAGACCGCAACCGACTTGTTGAGCGTCCCCATATGAGCTATGCTTGCTTGTGGCGCTAAATGATCCAAACCTCACTTATTTTTTTACCTGCATGCACCACGTGACTATACATGCTTCCTGCCCGGGGGCATCTCCAGCACGGGTCTAGCATATGTCAAGCGGCAGAACATGAAATACACAGGGTCTGTTAACCAATACCTTTCACCCCCGACCGACGCGTGCCCCAGCACAGCGACTGAAGCCATCACGTGGCCCACTGCGCTCACTCCGCAATCTCCATACATGCATTTTGTTTGTGGTGCGCGGCGCGGGCGCGCCAGGTGCGCCTGCGTGCCGCCGGCTCGCCGCTCATGTATAATGGAACGCGGCGCGACACGTGCCCCCGCCTGGGCACCGTTCCACAGCGACGACCGCGATCAACACGGTATGTTGCAGCCCCCCCCTCCTCGCCGACGTCATCACCGTGGGAAAGTATCGTGCGGGCCAGGACAGTGTCTGCGGTTGACGTTGGTCTTGCGAAGCCGCCGCCTGTTTGTGGAGTTGTTAGTGGGACTTTTAGTTTTCTGGTTGCTCCGGACTGCTGGGCATAAAGCAATCGCATTCTTCTTGGCTGTGTTTTAAGTTGGCTTTGTATGTTCCAAGGTTGCACCAACGTACAATACAACTAAGATAAAACCGCGTTGAAATTTTGCGGCTCGCTCGATACTGAGGAAAATCCGCTACACTGGTGGTCCCATGACCTCTCTGCACTGTTCGCTGCAGTTCGTATTTTTCTAGCAATTTTGAAGGAGTGACTGAGCTTCACAAAGATGGCGTTTATGTCCGATGACATTTTGATGGTCGGTCGAGGTGATGGTCACATTAGTCCTTTTCACGCCAGGATGTAGACAGGAGCTTAATTTGAGGCCAAATCTTTAACATACGAAAACGAATATAAAAAAAACAAATACATGGAACATCGGCAAGCTTATGAAAACGTCCGATGACTTTTACTACGGGGTCGTTTTTATTTTACTTCCATGTACCTATTCATCACCTCGCGTTTGCAAAGCTTCACAATTTGGTTTCATGGAACGTAATTCGCAAACGTAAAAGGACGAATACGAGCACGATAGCGAAACAAAAACGTTTCCGAATCTAAATTCGGCGGCTGTCTGAATAGTCCTGATAGCAGACGATAAATCTCGCACCTGTTTATCCTGGCTTGTTCATTTTGGACTTAATACCAGCTTAGATCCGAATCTAGTAATGCCGGCATGCAAATGGCTTCCAGGTCAAAGACTAAAATTGCGGGTAGGCTATCATGTTGACACCCATGACCTACCTAATCCATGGTTTCCAATCTCACTCCCACGTATCATTAACAATCTAGGTTTATTCGAAACCCAGGTGATATTTGACGTGTTTCATCCGCACAAAAGTGGGGTAAGAAGTTCTATAGTCCATGGGTCACGGGCGTACCTACATTAACATCACGCTCCACATCAAAAGGTGACATGCAAATTTGAGGTCAGGGAAATCAACCTCTAAACTCAAAGCGTGTTTATTAGCTTTCTGACACGTATATGCTCACCTGTTTGTACGCAGCCGAGAAATCCCTGGCACAGAAATGACGCCATGTTTATGTACCTCCAGAGGTCGCTGATACAAGCTCGATGCGAGCCGCAGAAGGTGATTTAACCCAACCGATCATCCACGAACCCACATACCTTCTGCATAGATCCATCGCAAATAGCGGACAGCTTCGAGCGTCCCAACTGGCACGCCCGATTCAAATACAACATATCGCATGAATAACATAACCGAATTGAATGGAATGAAGTGATCCTTTCTTCAAAGCCGACAGTCGGGCTGGTTCACCATCTGAGCTACGCTCACCACATCCAAATCATCCGAAGTGGATGCATTTTCCCTCACACAAAGTGCAACCGTCGCCGATGCTGCGCGAGCGAGCACCATCGCGCCGATCCTCCACCCGGTCCAAAGCTGCGGCGCTCCATCGCTGCGCTCAGGCCGTAAGCTCCATGGTGAGGGCGGCTCTGACGTCACCGGGTCCTGATCGTATCGGCCGCCTCCCGCACCAGCGGCCACCGCGGGCTATCCATCTCGGCAGACGAACGGCGCCGGCCGGTGCACGCAGCGCGCGGCGCGGCCCCAGGCTCGCCGCTGCAGCCAGCTGATTAGGGCTGATGACGCACGCGTTTCGCACAATCGGTCCGGTCCTGGTCCAGTTGGGACGCTGCAGGCGGCCGGAGCAGGGCCGGGCGGCGCGCCCGATGCTCCCAGTCCCGCCAGAGATGAGTCGCTCGAGCTGCTGTGTCGCCGGTCGGGGTCGATTGGGATGCCACTGATTCGCAGTGCGCGTTTTGACCTGAACTCTGGCATTGCAACGCTTTATGCAGGCGTGTACTCGGCTGCAGCTGCAGTTTGGGTAAGCTTCGTAATGAGGCAAATTGCTTTGTTGTGGGTGGGGACCGATTCAAACGGTACATTTGGGTGATTCAGGGCCGGAGCTGCTTCATTCACTTTGGCTGCAGTTAAGACGGGTCGAATGAAACACATCATATATATATATATATATATATATATATATATATATATATATATATATATATATAGTAGTGGAGTAGTGGTCGACCCTACGGCTTATAGGTCGGATTCCAAGTGGATTACGCAAAAGAAAATCGGGCACAAGTCTCGTTACGCGTGACCCGCATTAAGAATAGGCCGAGATTATCATGTGGTACGATTTAGCCGTAATTTTGGAGTTCCATTTTGAGCGAGGCATGTGAGCCAAATGCAGCGCTTTAAATCGCCACGGCAAGTTGTGCTTTGTGGAACGGCTGTACGGTGCGATACAGCTCTTATCACCTTTGTGTCGATGTCCGTTGAAGCTAGGAACGACTGGTGTTTCGACATGCCAGCTAGATGAATGCGGCGCATTCTTGCAATAGTTGTCATGATGTGGGCTGCAGTCTCTTAACTGTTGACAAGCTCCTCGGAAAGCTATTGTACTTAAATACGCATTGCCGTTTTCCAATAACTATGCAGACATGGGATACGTGCATCAGCCAGCACGTCATAAAAGTCAACATCGTTTTAAATGAGCCATCATGAGCCGTGGAGAGAACTCTGCGCTCTTGCCTTATATTATGCGACCGGGCAAGATCTCCAACTCAGACTGAAATCCTCCCGCGTGGAGACCTGATATGAGGTGTATTAACGGGGATCGTCTCGTTTCAGCGCCGAATTTTATCTGGAGTACCGCAGCTCAGCTGTGCAGGGGCTGTCCTGGTACCAGCTGCTGCACTGGGACAACCTCCGAGAAGTGCAGGCAAAACACAAACTCAGTGAGTGTTATACTGCGGCCACTTTTTGAGTTATTAGATAGCTTAGTTTGCTATTCAGTAAGTTTATTGGCGTGTTTTGACGTAATACCTTCATTTGCCTCCCTTGCCCTTACGCGAGTGCTTGGCGGATATTCAAAAGAAGTGAAAAGCCACTGAGCTATTTCGTGCCTGTTTATACCAATGCCAATATTAATATCTTATATGCGCCACAGCATCCACACTCACACTTCACCAGTGTATTGCTAGTATTGGCGCTGGAAATTTACGCGACTGGCTGCACCATAAATCCACCATAGCTTAATGACCCGTCAGATGTTTAGTGAAGTGTTAAACGTATGCTGACACGGCATGCGTGTGGTGACGTCAATCACGTGGTTGCCAGACAGCCGGTAACGTTTGAGACGTGCGGTGACGACAGACGCGTGATAACGCGGCAGACTCGTGGTGACATGATAGAAACGTGGTGCCATGTTAGACGCGTAGTGACGCGATAGACTGGTGGTGACGTGTCAGATGTGCGGTGACGCGACAGACGTGTGATGACACGTTGGATGCGTGGTGACGTGACAGACGTGTGGTGACACGCTAGACGCATAGTGACGCGGCAGACGTGTGGTGACGCGACAGACGTGTGGTGACGCGACAGACTGGTGGTGACGTGGCAGACGTGCGGTGACGCCACAGACGTTTAGTGACATGTTAGACAAGTGGTAAGTGTTTGATGCGCGGTGACGTGACAGACGCGTGGTGACGCGACAGACGTGTGGTGAAGCGACAGACGTGTGGTGAAGCGACAGGCTCGTGGTGACGTGTGCCGCCTGGGTCCGCAGTCTGTGCATCGGAGCAGGATCGCTCCTGCATCCTGCTGCTGCGACTGCAGACTCGCACCGGCCGCTGGCTGTGGGCACACTGCGTCCTCCAGGTCAAGGACAACATGGAGGACATGCAGCAGTCAGCTATCGTCTGCACCTGCCAGGTGCTCAGGTGAGCAGAGTCATGACAGGAGGGGTGACGATATTGGACAACGTGCTGAGATCGGTTTCATCGGTCCTAACTGCCTGTTTTACATTGATATCTGTGGTACTTCGACAGAACTACGTGCAAGAGGTTAGTCAGATTTGCATAATCTGAGCATCGATGATCTCTGGCGGTTTGAGCAAGCAACAACGCTACAGCAGGTCGTAAATCTGTGTTTTCAGCGAGGAGGAGGCGACAGTGATGCGCGCCAACTCCTGGCTGTACCACTACTACTCGATGCAGGGCAAGCTGCAGTACAGCCTGGCGTACGAGACGCATCCGCGGGTACCGCACTACTACCAGCAGATGCTGGCCTACCCGACGGCGCATCAGGAGGCGGGTCTCTACCAGAGCTACTTCCACAGCCAGCTGTCGGCGCATCCGGAAATGGCGCACCACCTCTCGCAGGCGGTGCCAGCCGCGCCGCAGTACGTCTTCCCCGCCGCCGCCTACCACCACCACTACCCGGCGCTGGAGCCGGCGCACTGGGAGCGCTACGAGCCGGCGTACTTGCCGCATGCGCCGCTCGACGGCCGGCTGGAGCTGCCGCCGGCCTGCGCTGCGCAGCAGAAGCGGCCGCCGACGCCGCCCGTCTCGCCGCAGCGGAAGCTATGCGCGCCGATCGTGGTGCCGCCGGCCGGCGCCAGCCCGCACCGGGACCCGGTGCCGATCAAGCGCAGGCTGATGGCGTACCAGCAGCCGTCTGCGCCGCACGCCGCCGCCGGCTGGTCGGAGCGCGAGCCGGTGCGGCCGGCGCCCCAGCAGCGCGCGCCCGGCCAGTACGGCTTCGGCGGCGGCGGCGGCGGCGCGGCCGGCGTGCTGCTGGCGGCGCGCTCGCCGCCGCTGCGCTTGCACGGGCCGGCGAAGACGGCGCCGGCTGCCGCCGAGTCGGAGCCGGAGCTTGCACAGGAGGCGCAGCCGTGGACGCCGAGCCCACCGTGGGCCGAGGCGAGCCAGCGAGTGCCGGACCTGGCCGGCGGCCGGCTGGCGGTGACGCCGCCGCGGCCCGGCGACGCCCCGGCCGCCGAACAGCGTGCTATGCTCGCCGGATGGGCGGACGTGTCGGCGCTGGACGACCTCGGCCGCGACGAGTCCACTTCGTCCGCCTCGGACGCCTCGGACGAGGACCCCCAGCGGCGGCGCGTCGACCGCGGCTGGCTCCGGCTATAGAGAGGTCGGGGTTGTTAGACCTTTTGAATATTTATTTTAATTTATGCGCGGAGGTTACCATCGGATATTGTTTTGCAAGAACGCCGGAAATGTGTGTAAAACGTTTATTTGTTTGTTGGTCGAATACACTGCGTGCAATGATACCGAATTGAGACGGTAAATAGACCACCACATGGTGTCAGAGGTGACACGAGTAGCTGTCCGTCAGAACAAGAGCAACCTTCCAACCAGCAGTGGGGCAGTGACACCAGGCGATTACTATCCATACGGATAAGGCCCCACTGGTGCGTTGTCGTTGGTGACTTCAAGCATTCATCATTTTGGGCGCAGTGCAAAATATGTGTTATTCTACGAACGTCTGGCTGAAGTTCACAAGGCCGGAGTTATTGTTTGCTGCGGAAGCGAGTGCTGCAAAGGAAAGTTTGCAAAGCCCGCATTGGCAATTGTTACAAGGAAGGGCATTCCAAAGGTATGAGACTAGCAGCAGTTTAAGATCAGCTTCCGACTTGGGCTGCAATACAACGCTGCGGTTGCAATACGGTGGACGACCTCACGAACGAGCCTTCAAGACCACAAGTTTTTTCTTGCCTCATCGCCAGTATGCAAGGGCCTCTGATGAAAACCGAAACCATACGATGATGCACACCTTACCGCACGGTGGTACAACTCGCTGGAACAAGCTGAGGGAAGACACGCCCGCCTGCAGGCCCGCCTTTTTCAGCCCGGCAGCCCGATCATTAGCCTCGCCTGTGAGCGCCGCCGTTCGGTGCAGTCGGCCAGAGAATCGATTTTGCGTGGGACCTGGCGCGGTCGGCCAGGTAATTGGTGACGCGGCGGTTTCGGCTGCATGTGTTACGCACCGCGGCCGGTCCGGCCGGCGCCAGCGGTGCTCGGTGGCCTGCACGACCGCTGGCGTCACCTGCAGCGGCGCCGGAGCGGGTCCGGCTCAGCTGGGGGGGCGGCGGCGCGGCAGCGCGGCGCCGCTGGCCAGCGCCGGCCGGGCTTTCCAGCGCGGCGGGGTATAAACAGGACGCCGGCCAATTTCGCCGACGATGCTGTAAAATTACGGTATCACTCGGACTAGATGTGCTAGTGATAGTGCGGATCTTATGGGAGTGATTAAAAATTAGGAGAAGCTCGAGGGGCTGAAAGTGGAAGAAATGACCCTTGGATCTCGACGCAATGCTTTTGCACAGGCTTAAGCTTTCACGTAAACTAGGCAGAGAGAGTATTGCGGTTACATTATCGCCTGACCCAGCACAGTTTGGATTTGTGTTAAGCGAAACAAAAACGTAATGAAGCTGCAATTTTTTTGTGAATTTCAGCACGATAATTGCCAAGAGGAGATTTCAGCGAAAAGACCTCCACAGCTGCTGAGAGTGCCTCATTACCCAGATCGGTGTCAGCATGTGTGCCCATGACTGGCGTGGTGGGGTAACTCACTTGAAGACCGCGCTGAGCACCTGCCTAGGATATCACCACTCGGGAGACGCCGCATCACGCTCTGCGGGTCGTGACTCTAGCCACATGAGCTTAATGGAATGGCCATCACGCGCTGATGACTTCAGATATGGGCAGGCACCCACTCTGTCCCAGCATTGCGGCGAGTGGTGACGGGACAGGAGAGTAAGGGAGCAGCACCGGAGCACTGTAGCACCGGAGAGCACCGGGGCAAGATCGCGTGGACAACGGAATGGCGCGAGAAGGAAAGTGGCGTGGGGAGAGAGAGAGAGAGAGAGAGAGAGAGAGAGAGAGAGAGAGAGAGAGAGAGAGAGAGAGAGAGAGAGAGAGAGAGAGAGAGAGAGAGGGGGGGGGGGGGGAGAGGGAGAGAGAGAAGTGCTGCCCAAGCCGCTGAGATGGTTTCGTTACATCGGTGTTTGGCAGAGCCCCTCCCCTATTATTGCCTGCCGCCCGCAGCGCAATGCTATCAACGAGCCGAGTTGGCATCGGTTTTGAAATCAAAGGTGCCGCCAGTGATTGGGCACAACTGAGCGGACAGCTTATCCCGACCTCCCAGATACAGAGCAGTCCGGGGTCCCGGTTTAATGATGCTGCAGTCGAGATGGATCGTCGAGATGACCGGCGGACCAAGCCGGGCTGCATTCTGACGCCGGCCAGGTGTGGGAGGTGGTGCAAGATGGGACCGGGGCGCACCACGCTCCACGGTCACCCCGCCTGCCGGTCGAGGTCAGGGGGCGCGCCGACCGGTCCGGGTTCGCTCAGAACGGCGCCGAACGCCCCGATGCTGAGCGCTCCAGGGACGAAGGCCGGCTCACTTTCCGGCCGAGGCCACTGCACCGGCCGCGTCTACTATACTGACCGAGTCAATTGCACCGTTTAAGTGTGCTGCGCGGGTCGAATCCGCCACGCGGGCCGAATCCGCTGCACCAGCTGAGTTCACTACACTGACCGGGTCCACCCACTGCACTAACAGAGTTTACTGTCCCGGCCGAATCCACCACACGGCAATGTCTACCACGCCTACTGAGTGTTAACTGCCGCCGGCCGAATCCCCTACGCTGGCCGATTTTACTACACCGACCGAGCGCTTTGTATCCGCCCGCTGCCGCGCCCACTCAACACCGGGAGCCTCTTGACCCGAACTCCGCGACGATCGAGTGCCACGTAAGGAGTTTACAAGACGCTGGCGGGCCGTAGGTATGTCTCCGCGACGGACCCAGCCGACGCCGCTTGACATGTGGAGAACAAGAGATTTGAATTATGTGCCGGCTCGCTCCCGGACCTGCACAATCTTATGCATGTACGGGGATTTACAGACGCTGCCAGGCCATGCCTGCTAAGTATTTCCACTCAATGCCAGGCTCCTTCTATTGTTCTAGGGTGCAAGCTGTTTGCAAGAAAAGAAGCCCTGTTCAAGGCATCAACCGGCATCGGTCGTAATATGGTACAAGACAATGAGCTTTTGGCGTCACGTCCTTGCGCATTTTCGCGTCTGTATAGGCATTCAACGTGGCCAATGCCATCCCAGCGGTAATCATACACATTTGCAACCCCCATTCTAGCATCACCGACCTCCCGTAAACCGCGCTGCCGTGTCGTCGCAGTGACGCTGTCACCAGCTTTCCGCGCAGCTCCTCTACATCCATCGTCGGCGAGGCGTTCTCGCCGTTGCGTTCTCGGCGTTGCGTTCTCGGTGTTGCGTTCTCCCCGGAGCCCCGTCGAGGCGCCGTCACCGCGGCACATTTCGTGGTCGCCGGGGCGGTCGCCTGCGACTCTATTGAGAGCATCCCGGCCGGTCCGGCGCGGCCGTCTCACGTTACAAATAGAGGGCTCACTTGTGGAGCTGGCACCTTTAATGTTGTTTATGGCGCTGTTTGGGGAGGGAGGGCGGAAAGGGATGGCTGGGCGGCTGCGCCGGCCGGGCGCTGCGCGACATGCTCATTAGCTCCGGGGCCCACGTCCGCGCGCTGCGGCGGCTTCCAAGAGCTAGTTAAGACGCTAGAGTGATATCCGGAAATTCCTCTGTAATGATATGTCTCAATGGCTGGAGGTGTGTCATCTTACCTGAATGTGTGTGTCACCTCACCTGGATGTGTGTGTCACCTCACCTGGAGCTGTGTGTGTGTGTGCACGTGTGGATGTGGTACCTACCGTAAAGTACCATTTGTGCAATGATGCACAATGCAGACGGCTGTGTATGTTGCCTTCAGCATCAAAATCGCGTCGCATTCAGAGATTTATAGTAAGCAAACGGAGATGCTTGCTTGGCCTACCTTTTGAATTTGGGAGCGCAGTTTCCATATGGCCCGTATCGCTTTGTGAAGCTGTCTCTGGTCTGTGCTGTCCACATGGATCACAGCTTCGTTACGCGACGAGCCAACGCTCTGATGACGACCGTATCCTTGCCAGGGGAAGAGGTCAGGGAAGCGGTCTGGGGAGGTACATACAGGTCGGATGCGCCGTGCGTGTTTGGTGGGTCGACTCGCGGTTGCCCACAGCGTTCCAGGCGCCACGACCCGACCACCGGTCACACGCGGTGCCATTAAGATCCGCGTGAACCGTGGCATCATACAGCACAAGGTAATGTGTCGGCCTTGCGAAGGACTGGTGTCTCCTGCACCTCAATCTGATCGCTGGTCATGTACGGTGCTGTCCGCCAGTCGCAATACCTCGAATGAAGTGGGTGAGCCCCTCACTTGAGGGGGGACAGCGTTTGCAGCGGCTTAACTCGGATAACATGAGCTTGTCTTGGTGTGTACCTACATGCGTCCCATCGCACCTATCACGCACCTGTGGTGAGCGTCGGCGTGCAACTTACATGATTAGTTCAGCTACAACGACGCGTTATACCATGACATTTCTGGGCGCCGTGGGAGAAAGGTCTGGAGAAATGTTGGTTTGGCCTTTGAGCAGGGATTGTGTTGATATTTTTTAGACGAACGCTCTTAGTGACGGTGCCTTTTACGGGACACTGGTCATGTTTCGTCGAGACCGTGCGCGTGACAAACAAACATATAAACAAGTTACCTTTTCTTCGGCCCGTCTCGGTTGTGGATTAAATTTGTCACTGGTGAAATCCACCTCTCTGTGGTGATATTAACGGGCATCGTTCAACTGAACGCGTTCAGTCACGGACCGAGGTGAAAAATAACTGCGCTGGAGTCCAGGAAAACCATAGTGATAATGCTATTCAAGTTTAGTAAAAGTAGTGATCGTAAGCTCACATGAACGGGATGCCAGGTGGAGGAGGCGGGGTGTCATTTCATATGTCCTTTGCCGTGACGTAACACTTTCATGAACTTGATGCGGGCCTTTTCATAAGCCCAAAGATTGACGTTGCCAATAGCATGGTTTTTGAGGGATCCAAATGGATTTCACAAGATTTTGAAATTCTGCCTGCAGCTAATTGCTTCTTGCGTATTCTGAAGAATCCACTGTGGGAGGTTTGAGTACTAGTCTGAGCTGCACCATGGTAGCTCTTAATTAGTTTATCTTTGTTGATGACTTGTTTGTGTTCACTACCAAGTGCTTACGTTTGA